GTCTTGATTTCACGATTCTTGATCGTAGAAAGTCATAATATGTATTGGGTATGTTTGTATCGTATTGCAACTTAGATGGAATCATTCGATATTCTACATGGAACGAGCACATCTCTCCTTAAGTAGTTAGGAGTTATGTTACAAAATAAATGGATAATAAGAAAATAAAAGAAATAAGAGAGGGAGCTTGTAGCATACAAAAGAGAAGATAAGTGTGGGTTTAGATTCTGATCAAAGATCAATCTTCAATCATACATAGATTTGTCACATCCTTTTCTGCTAACTCTCAAAAGCAAAGGCAAAAGTCGAATAGGAAATCCACTCTGTCACACTAGTAGTGTATCTTGTATCTTTATTGCATACTTTTCAAACGAGGGTCGTAGTCTTCACATATGATGCATGGAAACTTCTATACATAAGTATTTTTGTGTTTGGGAAACGTTTCGACAACTAAAACACCATGACACCTGTTGGAAATATTTTGGGAGTGCTTCTATAAATGTTTAAAAGTTTCGAAGATGTTTATGATAATAATGAAAAAATAGAAACACATTTCCATCCAAAAAAATTCACAACCCGCTTAATTAAAAACTCAGAATTGCCTACACTTAAAAAATCTTAAATCTTATGTTTTTTTTCTTCACATCTAGTGATGTCTTCATATTTTTTGTAGATGTTAATTCCATACTAAAATAAATTTATATGCCCCGGTATGTTATTTGTAGAATGATAATTCGGATTGAAACTTGTAAATTATATATAATTTGTAGACACAAATATGTAACTTACGATAAGTATATAAGTTAAACGTTTTAATATCTTTTAGAAATTATGAATGAACCCCAATATTGTTAATATCTACATTTTTTCCACACGTTCACGTATCCAACTTTTTGAAAAATCGAATTATGCCGTATCCGTTTTACTGTGTCTCCGTATCCGCATTCTCATGTCTTTGCTACATAAATTTTCACTAATTGGAAAATGAGGGAAAATTAGTGGATTATTTCATAATTCAAATTAGTGCCAACATATGTATGTTCCTAAAAATAATGTTATCAGAATTCACAACCACAAAATGGCCATTCATAATATAGTTATTTATATGCTATACCCAGTGGCGTATCTAGTGTGGTCCAAGGGTGTGCAGCTGCACACCCTTGATTTAAAAAAAAAAATATTTCCTATGTTTGTACCTTTATATAACTTTAAATCTGTAATTTGAACATGTAAAGCTGTAGCTGAATTGGTAGAGTTATTCCTTCACTTCCAAGGAGGTCCTAAGTTCGAGACCTTATTGTGACAGTATCCTCCTATTTAGTTGTTTTTTTTATTTCTAATTTTTCTTTATTTCTAATTTTTCTGTATATTACTCTATTTAGTTGTTTTTTTATTTCTGAATATATTCCTTTTTAAATTCTAATTTTTCTGTATATTATTTAAAATTTAACTTTCAAAATTGGTTTGTAGTTTGTTGGTAGAAATTTTTTACCCGTGCAAGATTTAATTTCCATTGCATACAATATTTCAATTAATCCTCCTATTTAGTTGTTTTTTTTATTTCTAATTTTTCTTTATTTCTAATTTTTCTGTATATTACTCTATTTAGTTGTTTTTTTATTTCTGAATATATTCTTTTTTAAATTCTAATTTTTCTGTATATTATTTAAAATTTAACTTTCAAAATTGGTTTGTAGTTTGTTGGTAGAAATTTTTTACCCGTGCAAGATTTAATTTCCATTGCATACAATATTTCAATTATTTTCAATTTTTTTGAATATGCATGAGGGTATTTTTTTCATATTTCAAAAAATCAAAATCTCCTAATAAAACGTATATTTTGCTATTTGCAACTCTAATTTATTTACAATTCCTTTAATATTTTATATTATCTAAATTATTCCAAAATTTTGAAGGTTATATATATATATATATATAAATTATTTCAATTGTTTTCTAAATTTACGTCTGTGAGTATTTTTTTATATTTTGAAAACTCAGAATATGCTAATGAAATACACATTTTGTCACTTGCAACTTTAATATGTTTACCACTCATTTAATATTTTCACCAATTTTATGTCTAAATATTTCATAAATTAGCCCAAAATTTGTAAAATAATCCCTTTAAATTTGAAAATATTACATATTTTTATTATTTAATGTGTATAGTATTAAAAAAAAATTGGGGGCGCTGCCCCCGAACCCCCGTAAACTTTTACCCAACCATTATATTTTTTACTATATTTAATTCCGAACACCCTTGGCAAAAATCCTGGATTCGCCACTGGCTATACCTATACCTGATGAAAACTATATCGGGTAATTTTTGTCGATTATCTACACACTCCAATATGGATTTATGAGTATTTGTGCGTTATATAAATGAAAAAGATCTATTCGATATATTTTGCCCGATGTAGCATAGAATAGACATTCAAAATTTCATAGCGAACCACGAATTAGGAATTGAAATTCTCCACGATTTTGACTTTGTCCTCACATGCATGAAAAGCTCACCCAATCCCAAGCCACGTGTCACTGTCTCACTTGCACGTGTCCATGCAAAAGCCACGTACCCCCCCTCGTCTTCCTCTTCAACATTCAAACAAAAACCTCAGCCGGCCATCTCACTTCACCCCCCCACTGTGTGCTTTTTCACCTCTCACTCAATAATACATTTTCATTACTACAAAAATGTCGAAGAGAAGCTTCTTCTCCGGCGGCCCCCTTTCGGCGCTTAGCCTGCTGTCTGCGATATTATTTCTGATGATAACAATCGGCGCCGCCGGTGCTGCTGCGAATAATGCGGAGGAAGGAGTTCGGGCTTCGGGCTTTTTAGTGAAGAAGGAGAAGAGGACGACGGTTGTTTCGACCGAGTACGGAGAGATCTCGGCCGCACGTGCCACCGACAATATCAACGGCTCTTATCTGCTTCACTTCTTCACCTTGGACCCCAATTCTCTCTTTCTTCCTGTCGTTCTTCACGCTGATATGGTTTTCTATGTCCATACAGGTAATCATCATTTATATATACATATATATATTTTCTATTTTTTTATAATTTATATTTTGAAGAAATTCATTTTAATTTTAAAAAAAAATAATTATAGCTTTTCAAATATATTATAGCTTTTCCCGGTTTTCCCGGTGGGTATATTCGTAAGATAATAAATAGTTGATGGTTGGTTATAATTATATAAATAGGAGGTTCTTTATAATTTGCCCTACGCAAATATAAGGAGGTTCTTTGTAATTAGACCTTATCTCAAGGGGGGTTTTCGTAATTTTTCCAAATCATGAATACTGCTAAATATTTCAAAAATATGGTTCCCCATAATTGCATGACTTGGGCTTGAGCAATTGCTTTAATTACTTTAGCAATTGGTTTAACTAGTTATGGTGGTGTGTGTTTGTGTGCGTCAGTGTGAGTAATTTTCATAATTTTATAATTTGTGTGTGTGTTTGTCTGTTATATATATAAATATATATATGTATAGGGAGTGGAAAGTTGAGCTGGACAGAGGAAGATGAGCTTAGGACCACCGATTTGATACGAGGAGATGTCTACAGACTCGAAGAAGGATCTGTTTTCTTCTTGCAGAGCAATTTGGAAACTACCAAAACCGAGCGACAAAAACTTCGAATTCACGCCATCTTTACCGATCCAATTAATGCCCTCCACGTACTAAAAAATACATTTCTACATTAATCACACGCACATTGCGTATTAGTATGTTAATTAATTTGGCAAATTTTAATGCAGGAACCGATAACCGGACCTTATTCTAGCATCCGCGACATGGTTCTCGGTTTCGACAGCAAAGTTCTGCAAGCAGCTTTCAATGTAACTTACATTTGTCAATTTCAATTTTCGATTTTCGATTTTCGATGTTCTAGGTTATGTTGTGTACTATTGAACATGATTTGGTGATGAATTGATATAATCTTGTGGTTCTCTAATAAGGTGCCTGCGGAAGTGATAGACGAAATATTGAACGGCACAAAGCCGCCAGCTATCATTCACGGGGTGACGAAAACCAAGAAATCAACTTCTTCATGGGAGGTGGAAACCCAATTCGTACGAGCCCTTCTTCGAGGCAATGTTTATAACTACAACATATTTGAAACGAACAAGAAGAAGAAAAAGTCGAGTGTGAAATTATTCAATCTCTTCAAAGAGAGCAAAGATTTTGAAAACTGCAACGGGTGGAGCACAACGGTAACAAGAAAGAAACTGTCCGCTTTGAAAGGATCCCACATCGGTTTATTCATGGTCAACTTGACAACGGTAAGTTTACTGCAAGTATAACTAAAAAGAATTTGCTGCATATGGAAATTAATTAATTAATTAATTAATATTTAATGTGAAGGGGTCGATGATGGGCCCGCACTGGAACCCTACGGCTACTGAGGTGGCGGTGGTGCTACAAGGGAGGGGAATGGTTAGGGTTGTATGCGCGAGTGTTTCGAACGAAACGGAGTGCAAGAACAGGAGATTCGAGGTGGAGGAAGGGGATGTATTTGTGGTGCCGAGGTTTCATCCGATGGCTCAAATGGCTTTCAATAACGGGACTTTGGTTTTTATGGGATTTAGCAGTTCGGCGAAGAGGAACCATCCGCAGTACTTGGCTGGACAGGCTTCGGTTTTCCGAACGTTGGATAGAGATGTTTTGGCTCTGGCGTTTGATATTTCGAACACGACCTTGGACCAGCTTGTGGGCCCGCAGAAGGATTCGGTGATATTGGGTTGCGTGTCATGTGCGGAGGAGGAGTTGAGGATTGTGGAGGAAGAGAGAGAGAAGGAGAGGCAGAGAAAAGAAGAGGAGGCGAAGGAGAGGGAGAAGGAGAGGAAGAGGGAGGAGGAAGAGGCGGCGAAGAAGGAGGAGGAAGAGAGGCAAAAGAGGGAGGAGGAAGAGGAGGAGGCGAAGAAAAAGAAGGAAGAGGTAGAAGTAAAGGAAGTAGTCGAGAAGAGGATGAAGAGTGGCAGAGAAGAGAGGAGGAGGAAGAGGCGTCGGCGGCAAAGTAAGTAGATGGAAGAGGAGGAAGAGGCTAGGAGAGAGGAAGTAGAGAGAGTTAGGAGGGAGGAGGAAGAAGCAGAAGCAGCGGCGAAGTAAAAAGAGGAAGAAGAAAGGAAGTGAGAAGAAGAGGAAGCAATACGGAAGGAGGAAGAGAAAGCGGCTAGGAGTGAGGAAGAAGTGAGAGTAAGACGGGTAGAAGAGGAAGAAGAGTGAGTAAGGCGAAGAGAGGAAAAAGGAGCGAAGAGAAGGGTAGAAAAACAAAGGCAGGAGTGGGAGGTAGAGGAAGCTAGAGAGAGAGAGCAAGAACAAGGGGAAGAGGAGGCTAGAGAGAGAGAAGAGGAAGAGAGGAGAGAGGATGAAGAAGAGAGACGAAGGCATCAAGAAGAAGAAGCTAAACGGAGAGAAGAGGAAGAACAAGGAGGAGGGCAGAGCGAAGGTGAACGCGCGGCAGAGGAAGAGAGAAGAAGGGAGGAAGAGGCACAAAGGGAGGAACAAGAACAAAGAGAGAGGGAAAGAGAGGAAGAAGGAGGTGATGAATGGAGAGCTGTGTCTTTCTAATTCGAGTATATTCGCAATTAGTATTCTGTAATTTTAGTTTTAAAAAAAAGTGTTATGTCATCCCATCATCTCCAGCTTTCGGGATTTTCTGTTAATCTGAGTTTTGTAGTGTTCTTGTTGATACCTTCTTTTAAGTTTGAATAAAATGTTAAATGGTTGTTCGTACAGTGTTTTTGTTGGTTTTCGAGTTTCTTGATTCATGTTATATGCTTCGAGTTCTACTTAAGTCTTTTTTATTTCGTAAGAAAAAAGAAGAAAAAAAAGTAATCGCAAAAGTAGTGTCGGTAGTATTAATCATTCGTGCAGGTTAAACACTTCGAAAGCAGAAACTAACTCAAGTGGGGGGAAAATTCCAGGCATTTTTAAGCAGAAACGAAAGAGACAAGAACAGTTAAATCGTCAAGTTTACCGCCATAGTAAGCATATCCAGCTTCTTGAGCAGCAGTAGAAAAAGGAGTCCTATGTTTCCTGTCCAAAGCTCGCGCACGTGCCACATCAGCTATCTTCTTAGCTGTCTCGTCCGGGCCCACACAATCTCTGACCGAATCGCCCACAATAGCCGCTATTTCTTTATTATATAAGTTATCGAACAACCCATCACTCCCCGCAACAATTACATCTCCAGCCACTACCGGAATCTTGAAAACCTAGACAACACATTTATAACCGTACATCACTATCAGACAATTCGAAACTAGGACGGAAGGGTACTGTGGTAATTAAATGCTTTCCAACTGACCTGTCCTGAGCTTGGCATATCGCCTGTGTTGCCTCGTTCGAGTTGGAAAGTGAAATTGAATCCGTGTTGTTGAACGGGGGATTCGAATATTATTTGACCGTCTCTTACGATTGTAAAACCGCTGTCTCCAAGATTAATTGCGTGAAGATCCTGTCCGATTAAAGGAAAAATTACGTTAGAAGCAATTTATAAATCTTCTTACATGATTAGTGTTAAAAGAAGCTAAATACGAAATTCGGATAAACAAAATGCAACTCATTTTGATGTCTTGAAGACGGATTGTATAAAATCTTACGGTTTATTGCATTCAGCACCCCTATGTTTACTATAATTGTTAAAAAAGATCCTCGTGTTATTAATATTAGCAAAACTCCCACTATAATGCAACCTTTTTAACAAACAACCCTAAAATTTCAACGTTTAGGGGGCTGTGTGCTAAAAAAATGCATTGTAGGGGGGTTTTGCTAATATTAATAAGACGGGGACTTTTTTAGCAAATAGATATAATACAGGAATAATAATGCAATAAACTCTAAAATCTTGCACACACGAAAATCCAAACTATCCAAAGTTTGGTAACACAAGATAAATTCAAATCTATCAATCTAAATCGCTATTAAATAAATAATCATAGTAACAATGAAGACAAACCGAACCTGGTTTCTGAGGCAAATGATGCATGCAGTCGAAGAACCCATGGCATTAGTTCTTGCATGGGCTTTTTCTAAAACGAGCAAAGGGTCAACGTCACTGTCCGTATTTTCTCTAATAGCTTTGACCGAATTAGACATGAGCTCACGCGCGTATATTCCTGCATTGACTCCCACATCCGCCCATCCACCGACTCCATCAGCCACACCAATTACTTGCTCTTCCTCACATATAAAATGTGCATCTTCTCCTCCCGTTTTTAATTTTTCCGGATGGGGCATATAACACACTCCAGAAACTAGCTTCAGAACGCTGTGATTCCGACTCCTGCTTTAAAAAAAATTACGGAGCTTTATCAATGTACATTTAGCAAGGTTTTGTTCACGGAGAAAATTATGTAAAATAAGATTCTTGACTAGAGAAAACGTAAAATTGACGAAGTTTTATATTAGGCCGAAATTCTGCACTCTTGGTAACGATACTCGAATTTAACTAAAAACTGAAAGATTTATCTCCGTATTTTGAATTCAAACGTCGTGGTTGGATTGTAAAAATAGGGGAGAGTAGATATCGTACGAGGCTTCAAATGTGACTAGTTAATTTAGTATTGATTGTCATACTGACGTTAAAATTCCATGCATTTTTAAAAACGGGGGTGCGAAGATGAATTTAAAATATCTAGGGAAAAACAAAAAGGAACGGAGAAGTCGAAAGGGGAGTAATGCTAAGAAGATATTTAAATTCAAACGGGGGCTTAGACGAGCAATTCGATAAACTTCTAACACGTGTTCGGAAAAAACTAAACATAGAACCTTCTACGAATCAAACAAATCTAGATTCCAAACCGAAATCGTCAGTACTGAGATATAAACACGAAACCATGAATAAAAGGACGTACTCGTCAGTCGAAAGTGCAAGGCTCGAAAGCGTCTCCACACTCAAAGATCCATCACTCGACACTTCAGGCGCATTCCCATCAGAGTAACACGAAGACGAAAAACTCCGAGGTTCACTCATCCCTTTCGACGAACGAGCACCACCAGAGTTACTACTACACCTCCTCACAAAATCGAAAATAGGGGATTCTCGAAAGCCATTGGGGCTTCCATTCCCTCCACTTCTTATGCTAACCCTAGCTTTACGGCATACCTTAAAACTCCTATCTCCGTAAAAAACACCACCGGGCTTCAAGAAACCCGACACATTGCCACAGCTGGACAGCAGAGTATCAACCACAACATCCCCAGAGGCAACCATGGAAGAAGAAGCCGCCATTCGATTTTTACCGCTACGGGTGAAAAGGGTTTCTATCAAATGGAGGGGTTGAGATTGATTTACTCTTGCAGCCCTAGGGAAGCCGAAGCTGAGAGCAACATTCAGATTGGGAAGTAACCAAGATGGCATTTTTATCAATGAAAACTACACAAATTCAATTTAGGGTTTTCATTTGGGGAAAAAACCCACATACGGAAAAGCTCCCAATTAAGCAATGGAACCTGAAACAACAGCAGAAGATTGGGGCGAAGCCATTAAAACACACACAAGTAAACTTAATTTCATTTTCTACATTCAGAAGAAGTAAAAAACAAAAAAAAAATTGATTGGAATTGGGGAAAAGGAAATACGAAATAAACGAATATGCTTTGATAAATCTGGAAATGGAAGTTCAAGAGAAGAAGATGGTAACCTGGAACGGCTGATTGTTAGAGGAAAGATGCGCCTTTGTTGCCCTCCTCGTTATTATTACAAAAATACGTGAAAGGAAATTAAATTAAATTAAATCAAATATAATGTTTTCTTTTATATATATATATATATAAAGGAAATGCAGAATGGATAATTAATATTTGAGTAATTTGTGAGGAGGTGGGAAAATGCTTATACATAATCACGTTCTTTTGGATATGCCGCCCACCAATTGAACACAGACAAAACTAGAGAGAGAAAGTGAGAGAGAGAGTATTTCTTTCTGGGCTTCAAATGATGTTTTATGAGGCCTGTCTTTTTAATTTATAGTTTTCCTTTTCTTTTAATTGGGCCAACCAAATATTTTTTGGTCCATTTTTTAAGTTGGGGACGTATATAAAGATGTAATCGAATTGAGTCGAGCTTTTAGATTTATTTGAATTTTTATGAACTTTAAAAATTATGTTTGATTGACTTGATAAGCAATCGATTCGAACTTGAACGATCTTTAACGAAGCCTACAGCTCGAGACTCGAGTACCCCCATCATCTATACACATTTTATCATCTTATCAAATGAAAGTGTGTCCAAGCTGGATTCTTTATGTTAACAAATCGAATAGTGATCGACGTTGAATCAAATATCGTAGTTTTATTTGATTTTCAACTCAACAAGTCCTTGTATATATCGGGGATTATCATCCCAATTATGCGACGCGTTAAGTTGGATAAGATAACATATTAAACCTACACTGATAAAAAAAAAAAAAAAAAAACATATTAAAGTGTATATGTTGATGTTAATTTGCATCTCATTCTTTAATGTATGTTTTACTTTGCTTGTTGAATAATTTCACTTATTTTGTAGGGTTGAATCGTCAATTAAAATTTTAAAATGGCTTGTTTCTAAAGTATAGTGAATTAAGGTTTGTGGGGCTAGTCAAATGATGTTTTGGTCAACCACCCCACACCTTATTTATTATTCCATCAAACATATATGCATTCATTTAAAGTTTAAAGAAAAGGTAAGGAATTATACTTTTAATTTTAATGGAAAATATCAATCTTAGTAAAAAAAAAAAAAAAAAAAATCAAAAAATTGAACTATTAAATATTAAATATAAAAATGCGTAAGATTCTTTTGGAAATGTTAAAGCGTCAAGCAAAACCCCTATCGAGTCGATTGGTCCAAATGATGTATTTCGTCTAACTGCACCTTATTGTACTATATCTTAATATTTTCTACATATTAGATTGGATTAAATTAGGTTGAATTAAATTGCTGTTGAATAAATAATTATTTAAGTAATAACATGTTTGTTTTTTAGATTACATCTTATTGGAACTCCAATTGCACTTTGACGATTGATCACGAAATTAACGTGTTGAGGTTTATGCTCTATTCGATCTCTCTTATTATTGTTGATTATCAACTGTTGTAGAAGAAGATAGCAGAGTGAGCTACGGACTAGGTCGTTCTCTTAATACGAATTTTACGACCATTTCTCAAGTGAGGTGCATAAAGGTTCTGATCGTGTCGTTTATGGGATACAACAGTTCAACCTATCTCTCCGCGCCGCTGTATCTTCACCGAAACTGCACGTTCAAGTGAAGTAGAAGCTTACATCCAACACACAATAAGAGCTCAACATATGTGTATATTATAAAGAGAATATATAATCTTCGGAAATATACTTTTATTTATCTTTTTCTCCTCACTCTTGCAAAGCCACAACACCGCCCCCCCCCCCCCCCCC